AAGGGCCCAGTATCGTTTGTCACGACGACGTCATTTGGTATATACGCCCCAGTCTGCGATAATCGGTCATCAGATCCCTGGTCTGGCCGGGTTTTTTCGCGGTATCCGCGGCGGGATATGGCGGGATATGGCGGGATATGGCAGGATACCGGGAGATACACGCGGATATGATAAGATACGGAGCCCCCATGATACAGAAACCGCAAATCGGACGCGACGGGCGAACTTCGCGCTTCGACCGCCCCGCTTGTCAAGCGCTTGCACTAGCTACACAATCGCTGTGTGAACTCTGAACAGTGAACTCAGCGTCAGCCACCAGCCAGTACCACCAGACAAAACGGTCTCAACGCCCCCGCCCCCCTAGCCCCCCCCAGCCCCCCCAGACGCCCAAACGCGTCGAGAAGCGGGTAAACGACTCACCTTCCTCCCACATGCCTGCAACCACAATCCTTCCGCCGGCGCCAATAGCAGTACTGTACTTGGTTGCTGTCTTGCGCGCGGCTAGTCTGCATCCGCCTTGGCCCTCGCGGCGGCCGCTGACGCGCGCCTCGCCTTGACGGCAGCCAGTGCCGCCTCCGCCGCCTCCGCCGCCTCCGCCGCCTCTGCCGCCGCCGCCTCTGCCGCCGCCGCCGGCCGCCGCAGCCGCCGCCGCTGCCGCAGCGGCCTCCTCCTCCTCTGCCGCTGCCAGAGCGTCCGCCTCGGCTTCAGCCTCCCGGCGCGGCTCCGCTGCCACCCAAGCTGCCTCGTGGATTCCTTTGAAGACGGTCTCTACTACAGGCGGACACTTGTCAAATTTTGAGGGCGTCGCCGTCGATGGAGAGGCTATGATAAGGAGAGCACGCGCCTGAGCACACTACGGCGCCAGGAGTCCGAGGGAAGCGCGGGGAGCGAGAGCTTTGGGGGCGAGAGAGAGGAGTTTTGAATTAAAAAGGAAAGGAAAACAGACGGGGTGCGAGAGGCAAACCGGGTTGAGAGCCCAATCTGCTGGTGCGTGTGTGCTCACACCACTACACTGTGGGGGGTGCCCGAGCATGATGTATGTGCGCGTCTGTGCTTGTGTGGGACAGACGTTGTTGTCCTATGCGCGGGGCTTCCCGCGGGGACCGAAGACGTAACAGTAACAGCAGCAAAGGCGCGGTTCACACCTCAGGAAACAGAAAAAAGCAGCGCCAACGGCGTGTCCGAGGAACCGAATCAGATAAGACGATCGACTTTAGGCCGCCGCCGCCGCCCTCCCTCACGCCCGCGCAGCTCTTGTGTGCCGCCGGCCTCCGCTGCCACTGCTCCGCCACCGCCGCTGCCGCCTCCGGCTCCGCCTCTGCCGCCTCCCCATCCCAGAGCGCACAATCAAACCCACAACATGCGTTACGCGTTCGCATCCCCCGACTCACGGTGTGCGCTCCCCTCGTGTGCAGAACACCGCTCAAAATGGGTTGCACCGCCTCGAAGATGGAGCACACAGTGACGGATGACATCAACGGCGGGGCCGACATCGAGGACAAGTGTGGCACTTCGCGCTGCATCAAGGCCGACGTCCCCCCTCCCTCCCCTTCCTCCCTCCCCGCCGCCAGCCCACCCTCGCCACCACGGGTCAGGCGCTCGTGGACAAGGTGCAGGAGCTCAAGATTGAGGTCCAATCGCTCAAGGCGGGGTCGACGCCGGACGGCTCCGACAAGCTTGGCACTTCGCGTGACGTGAAGGCCGACCCAGCCGCCCCCGCCCCACCACCGCCACCGCCGCGCCCTCGTCCTCGCCGCCCTCGCCGCCTCCTCACACCTCCCTGCCACCGCCGCCTCCCCGTCTCCCTTCCACCCGTCCTCCATCTCCCCGCCACTTTCCTCCCCTCCGAAGCCGCGCCCGCATCCCTCTTCTCCGCCAACACATATCCCGCCGCGCCCCCCTCCCGGACCCACCGCCACCACGGGCCAGGCGCTCGAGGACGAGGTCCAGTCCCTCAAGGCGGAGAAGCCGGACGGCTCCGACAAGTTTGGCACTTCGCGCTACATCAAGGCACGCCCGCCCCCCCTTACACCCCCCCCCCCGGCCCCGCCCCCCCTTCGCCACCGCCGCGCCCCCGCCGCGCCCCCGCCGCGCCCCCGCCGCGCCCCCGCCGCCTCCTCACACCTCCCCTCCCCGCCGTCTCCCTCCCCGCCGTCTCCCTCCCCTCCGTCGCCGTGTCCGCCCCCGCCACCGTCCTCCCATGGCCCCGCCACTTTCCTCCCCTCCGCGCCGCCGCGGCCGCGTCCGCGTCCCTCTCCCCGCCACCACGTCTGCCTCCCCACCCCCCCCCTTCCACACCACACACACACACACACACACACACACACACACACACACACACACACACACACACACGCACACGCACACGCACACGCACGCACGCACGCACGCACACGCACACACACGCACGCACGCACACACACACACACACACCGCCACCCTCGGTTCAGGCGCTCGTGGATAAGGTGCAGGAGCTCAAGGACGAGGTCCATTCGCTCAAGGCGGGGTCGACGCCGGACGGCTCCGACAAGCTTGGCACTTCGCGCGACGTCGAGGCCCCCCCCCCCCTCCCCCCCAAACACACACCGCCCTCGCCACCGCCGCCACGCACCGCCGCACTCGCCGCCTCCTCACCCCTCCCCGCCGCCGCCACCGCGGCGGCCGCGTCCGTCTCCCTCCGCCCCCGTCGCCACCGCCGCCTCGTCCGTCGCCACCGTCCCATGTCCCCGCCACCT